GAAACAAGGTAAAATGAAGTAAGAACGAAAAGTTAACAAGTAAATAAGGAAACAAGGTTAAATGAAGTAAGAACGAAAAGTTAACAAGTAAATAAAGAAACAAGGTAGAGGAGAGAAAACCCCAACAATCCCCTCTGAGCAAGCACTAGGCGACAGTGGGGAGGAAAAACTGCCTTTAAACGGGCAGAAACCTCCGGCAGAACCAGGCTCAGGAGGGGACAGTCAACTGCCGGGACTGGTTGGGGAGGTGAACAGAGGTGGAGCAAGACGAGGCTACACCAGGTGAGGAAGCAGTAGAGTCTCTCCTCCAGGGCCAGCGGAAACGCTTGTTCTTCTTTTTCATGCAGTTTTCTACAAGAGCTTTTTTTTCCAGGATGAGGGTTCTCAACTCATCGATGGTTTCTGTATTTTGCTTCTCAAGCTTCTTGCATGTTTTCTCCACCTCTTCTAACGTTGCTTCTTTTTCTTCAAGCTTTTCCTTGAGCTCTTTCGATGTTGCCTCCTGCATTATCTTGTCCTTGTGCATGTCTGCGTTTCTCTGTTGTACTTCTTTGTACATGTCTTGTAGCTCCTCATTTCTTCTGTGGATATCTTGGAGCGTACGCTGCAGGTCGTCATGTATGTTGTCTTGTTCCTGCTTTTGCACCTGCATTTCAGTGTGTTTGCGCTTCAAGTTGTTGTATTCCAACAATATCCCCTTAGTGAGCTCGGAGTTGTTTCTTGCCATTTGAGCCATCCTTTTCTGCATATGTGAGCATTGTTTGTCCAGTTTTTCTTTTTCCCCTTCTAGTTCACTTGTTTTGTCCTTCAGTTCACTACAAAACTGTTGCAGTTTTAGGTTTTTACCCTCAAAGTCTTCGACAATACGTTTCTCTTCTTTCAATCTTTCTTTCTCTTGAAGAAGGTCGTTATTTTGGCGCAGTATATCATCCAACTTTACTTTCTGCATTCTGTATTTTTCCTCCGTGACTTTGAGTTTGTGCTCCATGTCTCTTTGCTTTTTCTCCTGTTCTTCCTTCTGTTGGAGGATTTCTTTATTTTTTTTCACAGCTTCATCAAAGTTTGTTTGGAGCAGCCGATTCTTTTGGTCCATATATTGGAGATCCCATTCTGTCTTCTCAACAGTAGCTTTGCTGTCTTTAAGCTGGTTGGACATCTCCTTTAGTTCCGCGCTCTTTTGCTTATTTTCCTTAATTAGGAAGACAATCTGCTCTCGGGCTTGTCCAAACTTGATTCCCCAGCCCTCATTAATAAATGTTATGTCGGGCTGGTGTTGTTGTCTTTCTTCCAGATTTTTATTTTGCGCTTCCATCTGTCTACACTTCTCCTCCAGTTGAAGTTTCTCGTCTTCAATCTGTTGAATTTTATTCTGGAGATGGTAGTTTTCCTTCCTACTGTCATGTAATGCCCTTTGGACGGCTAAGAGGTCATTTGGCCGGCCACGACAGGAAGGAGAAGCGGCATAATCTTTTTGCCTTGGTTGGTGTCTTGTTGGATACATGTTGAAGGTTGTAAACGACAACTCTGAAAAGGTTTCCAAAAGTTTCTGTGGTGAAAGCTGCAAACACAAATGCTGCGAAGACACGAACTACAAATTGCTGTTTCTCACCCCTGTTTAAGGAAAAACTTCAAAGGATCAAAGTGTAGTGACATCATAACTCCGTGAGCCAATGAGATTGTCATGTGACATTTTGGAATGGGGATATTTTTTTTTAAACCGTTTTCAAATGTAACTTAATATTTGACTGTTTCTTAACTGACCTGTTTAGCTGATTAAGAAATGAAGTGCCACAAGCATCCCTAATGTTATATAACAGACAAAATAAGTAATAGAGGTATAATACATTTTTTAAATGTGTCTTTTTTTCCCAATGAATATTTTTGTTTAAGATAATTCTGGCCATAATGTGCACATGTATCAACAAGTGTTCATTCGGTTAAATTCTACTCCAGAAAATAATAAAAAAAGGAAAAAAACACTGATTCGCTTGTAAAATTAAGCTGAGGCGAGCACACCAGCTGCGGCTGTAATGAAGGTCCTTGTTTTTACTACTAGCTGTTAACCTTAAACTGCCCGCCAGAGTATTCACATACCTAGCCTGTTAATACAATGAAACCAAGCATCCGTGGCTTCTTGCTAAAATAAACATGGAAACATGTTTTTAAAATCTTTTATCTCTTCTGCTTTCTGCAAACTCCTTTAGTTACTCTAAAGTCAGACCTGTTGCACTATAATCGCTGATCCTATCCTGCATGGCTATACCTGATGGTGCTTTGTACTAGTTAACTTATCGAGATCATATGAGATCACTTGTAGTAATTCACTTACTGCTAATCAGTGGAGCCATTTGCAACTGAAACTCCTCAGTGCAGTCAAACATGTGTGCTACATATCATCCAAAAAGCTTGATTTTGTTCTGTTTCACACTAGTGATAAGGGCACAGCACGCTGCGAGCAGAGGGAGGACATGACAGAGGCTGAATGATTTACAGAGGTTTAGTGGGGAAAAATTAGAGATGACCTGTAGCTCTCAGTGTTACGCTTGGGAAAATATTTTAATGAGAAAATATAGCAATCACATGGTGATGTAACACACAGGTTGCTATAAGTGGGAGGTGACTGATTAGTTACAGATGCCTTAACCGTCAGCGAGGGTGGGGAGAGAAAAGCTGTTAGATGTGCCACAGGCGGTTCAGCTTTTCGCTGGAGCCTCTTGTAACCTTGGCTAACCCCAAGATTTGTCTGCTCTCCACAACATTGCTGGGAAAGGTTTCAGAAAAGTGCAATGTTTTTATTTTTTAAATCATGTGAAAATGATTTGTTATTACTGTAGAAATTCAACATTTAAAGAGTTTTAAGGTTTAAGAACTTGTAACCTATTTTTTGCTGAAAAATATCCATATAATATTCATTCAATGATGAATTATGGTTTGTGGGGGCAGAAGGTAACAGAGGTGCCCGGATATCCCTCTCCCTAGCGATGTCTTCCAGCTCATCTGGGCGCGCTCCCAGCTGAGAGACATAACTTTCCTACCTTGCTCTGTGTTTTCCAGCAGTCTCCTCCTGATGGGACACATCCCAAACACCTCACCTACAAGATTTCCAGGTGCCAGCCTAATTAGATGTCAAAACTGCCACAGCTTTCTCATTTTGTTGTGGAGGTTTAGCAGCTCTTTGAGCTTGTTGCTCTATCTCCAAAGCAGATCCCAGACATGCTTTGGAGGAAGCTCATTTCCTGCCACTTGCATCCCTGATCTTTTTCTTTCGGGAAAAACTACTTAGTGAAAAAGAGTAATTATCAAATAAACCGGGATTCAGAGTTGTAAGCCGAGCTAGCAGCTTCATCTTCAGTTGTTTAATTCTATATTCAGCATCCTAACATGTTCACATTTACTGTGCAACCTGTTACCATACTGCCATTTTTACCTTTTTATCATACTAACAACAAACCAATGAGAATTTTAATGACAGGTGTTTTCTTTTCCTTGTCACAAAAACATAGCCGTTGAGCTGATTTTGAAATAGTATGATAGAATCAATCTTTGTTCATTTAATCTGAAAACGACCCATTTCATTGCCGTTCAGCTAAACAGTGGAATCTGGACACCGTTTCAATTTTCCCTCTCGTAGCTGCTTATTTTCACTTTTCTACTTTGGTTACGTCTGCGAGCCAAAATGACTTGGTTACTGTTGGGGGAAAAAGACCATGGTTTGACTTCAAATACACCCTGTTGGAGAAAGTTCTGAGTCATCTAGAGTTGATGACACCAGCACACATTTTACATACAGTTATTCACACGGCTGTGCCTTTAAAACTTAATTTTATGTAATAACAACAGCCTGTACAAGCCTGGTTTTCATGTTAAGAACAGTTTTGAAAATCCATTGGATCGGGAAAGTCATTCATCCTGTGTGCAACATGAATATATGGACAAAGTTGCATACCAGTGCTTCCAACCGCTGTTGAAATATTTAAGTGGTTGTCAATCATTCCCTTGTTAAAGCTGCTCTTTTTCGCAGTGACACGAGCAGGAAGAACACTTAACTTATCATTAGTGAAGTAATTATGAAGTGTTTATTTTTTCATTTCTGAGCGAAAAGAGTGCTCGTTCAATGCTGTAAATAATTACAATGTTTCTCACAGGCAGCTGGCAGCAGAAAGTGTGTCGAGTGTGTTGTTGTTCCTCTCTGGGTCTTGCTTCAAATGACACAGGGTCCATTAGAGTCAGGAATGTTAATAAGCTTGAGCGTTTAGAGGAAGGCAGATGACCAAACTTCTTTTTTTTTTAGCATCAGTGCACTGATGGAGAGACACAGTGTAATAAAACCCACACAAGACATATATTGAACTTGTCCAGCACATTAAACGTAACACTGAAGTGCTATAAAAACAGCTGGGAGTTATCTTCCATTACTATGTGGTGTTGGTGAGAGCTAAATGAGATTAACTGTTGTTTTTTTATTTCCAGCTATTTCTTTGTTATTGTGTCAGAGTGATTATATAATAAAACTGCAGCCACAAACTCGCAAGCCAATCACAATAAACTATAACATCTTTACTAGGCAGTGTGAACCATAGTTTACGTTCAATTGCTATACAAGTATAATTAAGCCATGTCTAAATAGCTGTGGACCTCAGAAGTGGATCTCAGAGTCACTGCTTCTAATCGCTGCAATAACATCTGAATTGCAGTTGTTATCACAATTGTAAAGCGGTCACGCTGTAGTGTGGATGTTGGATGGCTTTCCATGTAACCATTCCCAACTCGTCCTTATGTTTTTCAGGGTTCTGATTGGATCTCCGCTGTCAGGACAGCCGAGTAAAAGAACCGGAGACGTCTACAAATGTCCCGTGGGGAGAGATAACAACAACTGCATCAAACTGGAGCTGCCCAGTAAGAAAACTATTTGTGTGCACATGTGTACAGTTTTAGCTGATCTGGCTGAAGGGGGCAATGAGTTCATGCAATGCCAAGACAACCACCTGTCCCTCTGTCCAGCTACAGTTCACAAGAAATGCAGCTCCTCCTGCAGTATTGGTCAGTGTCACATTTGTTGTTTTATGGGCACTTTTCCCTTTTCACAGCGACGACCTTCATGCGCACTACTTCTAATTGTACCAAATTCTTGCTCCTAATGTACTGAAAAATAACAAATTCAAACTGTTTAGTGAAGTTAATAACAAAAGATTCTCATTGTTGATACATTTTGCGTGCACAAAATTAAAAATCACCTTGTTAGACATGCAAAAGGCCACTTATTTCCTGATAGATTATGACAATCATGTGATCATATTACTGATTATTATCATGGAGTAAGAAGTTCTGTTGATTGACTCCCAAATAGCACATTTGAGAGCATATTTGTGGCCTACCTTCCACCATTATCATCAGTAATACGCTCAGTGCTATGACATACTGATCACAGGTTTACAACTGATCATGTAGTCGTAATGCTTCTGAACTCAGACACTTTAATTTAGCGGCGTACAAGACTAATTTGTCATGCATGTGATGAAGTAGAAAACTAAAAACAATGTTTTGCAAGGACGGCCTTATATTTTGACTGTTATGTTTTACCTTCTCTCCTGTTGTGTTAATACTTTCATATTGACGCAGAGGAATGCACAGCATCCTTCCTCCAACACTATTGGATAAATGAAGGCTAAAGGATAAAAAAAACCAATGCTAACACCTTTTCCTAACAGATCAAAGTTGCCAACGCTCTGCTGACTCTGTAACTGCACCGTTCCAAACCTCCTCTGCCATTAACTTCAGCATAAAATTAAGATGTGCTTATGCCATGACCATAGTGAAATCCTGGCAAGAAAGTGAAGCACTCACAGTTATTCCTGCGTCCAACACACGCAATCTGATATCATTGTTACCACAACCTTACATTTTAATGTTGCCGCAGAAGCGTCACTGCTTCAGGACCTTTTAACATGATTAATTATACTGATATTAATGCTGTGAAAAAGTTAAACAGTTATTCCTGGACTCGAGAAGGTGTCTAAGCCTGACCTCAAAGAAGTAAAAACTCAATCAATTAACTCTAAAGTAATAAGTAAACATGGATATCTAATTAGTGAATCACAGTCTCCTGTGTGAAAGCTGTGTTTGACCCAACCACCCACTACAACCTCTTCTCTAGACACACTTTGTCACTCGATAAAAGGAAGCAATAATAACACGGGGATCAATCATTCAGTTGCTGCATATTATATCTGTTGTCATTGTAACAGATAATCCATGTTATTCGCTTCATCTTTCAGTGGCCGATTGGTTTATATATGTGCATGAACATGTGCATGAGGGGGATTTTAATTGCCGGTGTGCATGGGAGAAGGTCTTAATTAACTGTCTGCACAAATACTCTAAATCCAAGTGCTTCTGGGCGTGTGCGTCTGATGTGTGTGTAAGTTAACTTTTATATCTGACTGGGTCTTCTGGGGAGGAAGCTGGAACCATCGGAACAGGAAGACAGCAAATAAACAAGGTTTTAATGTTTCAGCCTTCCAATTTATCTAAATTAAACAGATAAACACAACTTAGCTGCCGGTCAGTAGTCTGCAAAGCCTCTATTAGTGCCTGCCTGTGTGTGTACGCAATAACCGAGAGCTTGTGTGTGCAACAGATCTGCAACTTTTAGAGACTGATACATCACCGCTTTAGCACAGTTGCCTTGGACACCTTAAAATTTCTAAGTAAGCATGGTAACAGCTTGGCTGCTGTTGGTAAATTATTGGTTTTAAGTGCTGATCAGTTGGAATTCCCTTCTCTGAAGTGGAGAGTGCTGTAGTTGCTTTATCTTGGGGGATTTAGAAAAAAAAAAGCTTGAATCTCACAGACTGAAGTTTTGTCTGGAAAGCATCCAATGGGAATCTGGAGCCAGACAAGTCAGCAACAAACTAGGAGAAGTTTAAATGATGACAACAGTGCTGGTTTATTTTACTTTTTTTAAAAGAAACTAGACACGATAAGCAAATGCATGACCTGTTTGTTTCTTTAGGATCAGTTGATGGATATATAAAGTATTCTTGGATATTTCTATAACAGTAGAAAAAACCTTGTGCAGTTCAGCAGGATGTGTTCATGTAAATGTTTTAAATAAGTAAAGGGCTTGTCAGTCATCTGTCACTCTTCATCATTTCAGTCTATGCCCACTGACGACTCCTCACAATCTCTCATTGCCACATCTGCCTCCACAATGGATTTACATTTTCCCAGCACAGACGAGCGAAGCCAAACCATAATGAGCAAAGTTAGTGGCTGTTGTGTTGTAATTTTTAATGACTCTTCAGTCTGACCAGTAAAACTGGGAGGCGGTTATGCCATGGCCATTATGAAATACTGATGAGGAAGAACAGCACCCACAATTTTGGAGGGGTTGGTTACTAAACACCTCGGCTGTATTTTTGCATTCTGTTTAGAAAATTGAAACCAAATGACAAACATGATGCGTCAGTTGTATAATTGTAAAGTCAGTCTGCCTTCTCTCACATATACTCATCCAAAAACAAAACATAAGTTTGGGTTTTCAAATAGATTTTGTCTTATTAGATATATATATATATATATATATATATATATATTTTATATATATGCATGCAGAAGACATTTGAAATGATACAAGCAGTCACCCATCTGAGAACGGACAATACAAGTGTCCGGATCTGTTGTTGAGGAATTGCTCTCCCTTCCTGCAGCTGTGCAGTGGTCAGTGGCTGTGGCTGTCTCTGATGAACATGTTGACTCAGCATGTGCCAGGTTTGTTCAATAGGAGACATATCAGGACTAAATGCTGGTCAAGGAAGTGTCCGGATGTGCTTCTTATCCAGAAAGGCCTGCACTGCTCTAGCAGTGTGGGGGTGGGCATTGTCGCCCTGAAACAGCCGCAGGGTGGAGTACTGCTGCAAGAGTGGCACAAATACAGGTTGGAGCACCTCATCTTGGTACGTCTGTCACCAGGATTTCCACTAAAAACAATCTGATCAGAAGTGGGCATGCAGGGCTGCGGCAGCAGACACACTTCAGTCGGTCGCGGCAGACACTGCACTGATAAAAATGTTGTAGATAAACTGCATGAACCAATTCTGAGGTGTATAAGTGAGTTCACTTGTGTTCAGTAAACAAAATACCAGCCCTGCTTTTGACTAAATCAATCAGCCATGACTGAAAACTACTCATGTGAAATGTTTGGGTATTCTAGGAAATTGGGAAATGGATTTAAAACAAAGACTGATTATGAAGCTGATTTGCCATAGTAATAATTAGTTTACTGTTTTTCAGTGTTGTGAAAACTCACTGCAGTTTAGATCCACAATCTAGGAAATCACAGGCAGAGCACCAGAGGAGGAGCAGCGCTCTGATAGGTCCGATTTGTTCTGATTGTTATCAAGCATTACTGAGGAAAAAGCTTGTATTTCGGTGTCTGTCGCTCGTTCCAGTCCCACGTGGGCATCATGAGCTGCAGGGTCCTGAACTGTGTCATTGGAGTTAAGAAATAAGGATGGGTCACTTTCCAAATCAATTCAGACCCACGTCACAGTTTAATGTTGTTTTAAATGCAAGTTTGTTTATGAAAGACAAGATTTTTTTCATCCTGAGGTCAGCAGGGAGCCCCATTGTGCTGCCTTTATTAGTATACTTTAGTGAGTGTGTGGGAAGGAAATAGAGGGAAAAAACCCACCCGGAAAGGACGTATAGGGTAAAAATTTAACGTACTAACTGCTAACAGATCTGTTGCACATGTGCGAATGGCAATCAGAAATTGTTTCACATCAAAATCACTTCTCAGGGAGCAACATTCAAAATTGAAAAGGCATGTTTCACAGATTTGCAGAAGGAAAAACGAATTCCTATCCAAAACATTCCCAAGCTGCTAATTTTAGACACATGTTGGGTTGGTTTAATGATTCCCCTAATTCTTACCCCTTCACAACAAACAGGCTGTTTACCAACAAAATATTTGTGTTGTGCTCCATATTCTTAGTTAATAGCCATAAGCTACACACAGAGGGGCCACATGGTAAAGTAATATAGCAGAGTATATTTAGTCTCATGTCATTCTTTGGGATAGGCAGCACTTTTCTTGTGGGAAAATGAAAACGAGAAATTTACCCAGCTGTGCTGCTCTCTGTTTGTCTCACTCTGTTATTCATCTAGTTTTTTCTTCTTTTTTAGAAAACACAACCATTCCCAACTTGCGTGAAGTGAAAGAAAACATGACCATGGGAAGCACACTGGTAACGAATCCCAAAGGAGGATTTCTGGTAAGCAGGAAGTCCTCTACACTTTCTATAGACAAGAAGAAGAAGGACTGATCTTTGCATATTTGCTGTAAGACTACTCAGCAGCAAATTTACAGAACACTCACTAAACCTTTGGCCTCTATGGAAAAGTCAGGCTCATGGGAACGTAACAGGATGCTGTGAATCAATTGTGGTAATGTTGAAGTGTTTAAACATGTAGGGTTGTGTTTAAGAACTCTAATAAAACTTTATTTAAACCTGAGGATCAGATCACCAATGTGTCAAAACTACAGCTCCAGTAAATGCATGTTTTTGCAACTTCTTGAATGGTTCGTGTATGAAAATCTAATGTAGAAATGTGAGGTGGAGCTGCAGTTTAAACCCTTAATGTGATTTACACAACATGTCAACACCACTTCTGTATTTATAAGGTGGAACACCCAAAACATTTGGTATAAATCAGGCTGCCAGAGGAAACATATGACATGATAATGAGCAAATAATGAGTTTAGTAACACATTTCAACACAAACTAATCACCAGCTGGACTGCATGTGTGGTTAGTCATTTACTGAACATTTACAATACTAATTTATAGCCGTGCCACTCATTATGCCTGCCTGTTGAGCCATCACAGTGGTGCACTGATTTTCCTGAACTATTAAATGCATTGTTATGGAATTTTCTGCAAACCTGAATGGTCCCCAAAGGATGAATCCTAATAAGTATACTGCTCCAACTAATACGTTTTTTTAGCCTCAGGTTTTCTATCAGTTTTGCTAATTAGCAAATGTTAGCATTTTAGCAACAATGAGATACTTTAATGCTAAGTAGGCCTTTGTTTCTGGGATTACTAGCATTGTCTTTGAATAAGAACTTCAGTACTCACAACTACTTGTATAAAATCTTTATTATCACAACAACAAGAAAAAAACCCAGAAGCGTTTCAGCACATGGCTTTTCTCAGAGTTTCTAATACACACGTAGTCACAGCTAGCCATACAACACCACCAGGACCGATTCTCTAATGAGCACAGGTAGCAACGATCAGCAATTCATCAACATACAAAAGTGACGGCCTGCTCCAAGCACATACATAGATCACACACCATTAACACTATCAGAAACACATTCAAAGACAAAAAATTAACAAACTATATCACATAATACACAACTCAAATCTGTATCTAAATATTAATTGACCACGAAAACATTACATAGAAGCACATAAATCAACAATATAAACATCTTAGAATCAATACATGAAAAATACAGGCTGAATAAGTCCCATTTATTAATTCTAAAAAACAAGATAACGAGTGTTCTTCATTTAATCCACCAGGACACAAGTTTGTAAATGATGTAGCCAGTAAGGCTTTCTTTGGAGAAGTTGTTGTTCTCTATGAATGAGAAGGAAATGTGTGGATGATGTAAGTGGGGTATCATCTGGAAGCAAAAATAATATGTTGTCAGTTACTTAACAGATTTAATTACTTGTAAATTAAAGGTGCTATTCCAGACTGTTTCTATCCACTTTAACCCCTCCCTCTAAGTAAAGGCCTGCTCCCTTTAGCAGTTTTCCTCTGTTCTGTCTCCTTTTCTCCTTTTCTTAAGAGAAACAGTCTGAATCAACCTCTTCTGGGTTTTAATAGTCTCTTGATGTCATCCTCAGTTTGAGTCGTTCTTTCCTCTTTGTTTCTGTCTACAGTAGCTTTCCTCTCATCCATGACCTCATAATAGTGGAAAACTAACTAGTCACAGCCTTTGAGTCTCTGTTTGTTTGTATGCATGTGTGTCCTTTTTCCGCAGGCGTGTGGTCCTCAGTATGGCTACAAGTGCGGCCCGCAGCATTTCATCTCAGGAGTTTGTACGAATGTCAGCTCTTCCTTCCAGATCCTCAACTCTTTTACAAAATATCAAGGTACAGTACAGAAAATCTGCTCAAGAAAGGACGCTGTCTGTACAAGTTGTCTGTCTGGGTTGAGAGATAGCAATCTCCTCGTCATACTAGTACCACCCAGGACCCTGACTTTAAACTCACACTCCCTC